CATTTATATATATATTCCAGATCATGTGATAGTTTAACTAATCCTTTATGATTAAATCTTTTCTTTTCTATCCAGGGTTTAGCAGGGTTTAGATTAGCCAATTTACAGGTAGTGTCATGATTTAACTATTTGGTGATTCCTTTACAATCATAGAATTTGAATGTATCAAAGTCACTGTAATCTAATGAATAGAAAAAATATTATAATATGGAGAGATTTAAATATTTCTGTACTCGTGTATTCATGATATTTGAAAATAATTGAAACGAACATTATTTCAACTGAATTACATACTTCTTGTTTTTCTTGCTCTTCTTCTTTCTCTTCTTCTTTTCTCTTCTTATTTTCCTGTTTTATCTTCTTTATGAAATGGTGTTTCTGTGCATTCTATAGTTGGTTTTCTAGTCCAACCTCCTTCTCAAAGCAGGAAACCTTATACCATCCCATTCAAATGATTGTCCAGTCTATTTTTGAAAATCTCCAGATATGAGATTAAAAAACTCATGCCCAGGTTTATCTCTACCAAATTCATATAGGTTATTATATAGTATTCTATCTTTGACATTCAGTACCATTAAATTATATCATCTGGCATTTATGCCTTTTTTAAAAGTCATGTGTAGTTGTGGCATTAAGTCTAATTTTAGGAGCTTAATTTCTTTCTCTATCAGTATGTTTCTTTATAGTATTTCCCCTGAAAGAGTGAAAGAATTTTGACAATGCGGCATGAATTTGATGTGGTTTGTTAATCATTTCACTTAGATTCAACTGTAATTTGAATCTAATTATAAGTTTTCTAAGTAACATTCTTCAATCCTCATCAAATTCATTCTTTTTTTTTTAAGATACCAAAACAAGGGGATCAGTTGCTTTCTTTATCCAGGATTAAGTTAGCAGCTCCAGGAGCTCTGATCTCACTATAGAATTATGAGTGGAGTTGACAATTCTTTTCTGATTTTTCCAGATGTTCAGATCTGGATCTCTTCTTAAACTTATCTTACATGAGTTTATTAATGGTTTTAGCAGTCAGATTATATCATTCTTTTATTATTTCATGTCAGATCCTGTTGTAATCAGAATACTGTATGAACACTTGAATTGCTGTTATAGTATGAAACAGATTTCCTCCCGCCTGCCAGCCATTATATATATCTTTATATCTATATCTATATCTATATCTAGATATAGATATATATATATAGAGAGAGATATAGATATAGAGATAGAGATAGAGATATATTATTTTTCTATCGAGACACCTGATCTACCCCAGCATGTGGGAGGGAGCATACTGCATCCCTTTCGCCTCCTGGATTGGAGCTGAAAGGCGAAAGGGATGCCGTACGCTCCCTCCCACATGCTGGGGTAGACCAGGTGTCACGATAGAAAAACACTTAATCTCTCTCCCCTGGCTCAAGCTGATGAAGGGAGGAGCACTTGTGGCTCAGAGGTTAATATAACTGTCTAAAATGCAGGCAGCCCAAGTTTGAATCCAAGTAAGGGTATGGCTAGCTGATGAGAGCTAAATAGCTTGAAATAGATCCAGAAAATCTTAATGTATCCTTTTAAAGAAGCCTCATGCTCCATTATAAAACAATCAATTTTGTTGGGGATCTCCATCATCTTGTATTTTGGTTTCTGAGGATAATTTTTCTCACAATTGACAGTAGTGTAAGTGTTTTTGTATCACAATAGCACAAGCTGAGGATACACAGTTGAACATCAACCTCTTTCAACCGCTTTAAAAAGTTATTTGAAAGAACAAAGTTTACCAGTTTTCTTCAATGTTACTGTCCTTTGCTGAGTCTATCATGGTGAGATACTATAGCAGCAGTCTCCTACATTATGCTAGCCAAGGTATTTAGACCTCCCTGCATTTCATAAACATTAAATTATCTAACGTGACCCAACTTTATATAAAATATGTGAATGGAATTTTTTCCCATCCTTGTTTTCAGAATACAGCAAGATTGCTGACTTTGGCAAAAAACTTATATTGCTAAAGTACTGAAAAAGTTTGCTTTATATGAGTTGTTAAAATCTTTTTCATATCACCAATAGTCCAATACTGATAATTTTTGGAAAGAGACCACTGACATGACACAGGACTTTAGATTGTTATGGGGAAAATGCCCACTTAAATTAGGAACCAGGGTCACAGATGTTATCTGCCTCCTTTTCCTCCAGAGTTCTCAGGCAGCTTCAGTTTGCCTGCCTTCTATTTGCAGTTCAAAATCCCTCACAGCAAATGTCTGTAAGGATAGAATAGTACTTGTTGCCCACATTCCTCCGTTTCTCCCCATCTACAGGTGAATAATGTACAGTAGTAGAGGGGAGCAATATGGTAATATGCAGCCAACCTAGGCTATAAACTGAACTGAGAATGTTTTATACCTTTGACAAGATTTACAAACAGCACAACAAGTTCCAAAGCAAGGACATCCACACATTGTATAAACACATGTGTGCATCCTTATTAGAAGGAAGAGAAATTCAATGAATACAATCACATTTATTCATGCACATATGGATGAATATACATGATAGTAATCTATGTTCTAGGCTCTCTCCTTGGACTTGGGTTTTAGCTACTTCTTCAAGAGAATGTGCCTGTAGATCAATGCAATATCAGTCTCAATACAATTATATTGATTAATCCAAACACAACAAGAATAATTCATTAATTTGCATGCTTCCCCTTGTGGGGCCAATAAATAATGTAGGGCCATCCTATTTTCTACAGTAAGATGGCAATATCCTCTGTTTGGCATTGCAGAGTGTGTCAGTGACAACATAAAAAGGCAATTTCTACTTCTATAGAAACATCCATGATGTTTATAGTCTATAGCTCATACACCTCTAGTTTCGGCAGTAGAACTCTTAGAAGTTCATCAACATTGTGTCTCAACCAGGTTTTTTTTCTATATACTATGTGAACAAAAGGCAAAAGGGGGAAGGGCACTAATCTTGGTATAGTAATTCAAATCAACAACTATATACCCCAGGAACCACCTTCCTTCAAAGTTTCCAGGTAGCATCTTATATATCAGTAAGCATATTCATATTCAAACTCAAACATATAGACTGGTTTGAAGTGACATAATACTTGTGATGATGAGCAGGAGGCTTATCTAGAGTTTTCAACTTCCACAGAAAAAATGCCAATAAAGTTACACAGTTGATGAAGGTTCTCAGTCAACCAGGTAGATTCTAGAGGAAAGCATGACATGCAATTTGTCCAAATTAATTACTATGATAGTCATATAAGCTTATGATTTTTTAAATAATTTTTATTAAATATTTTACAGAGAATGTAAGGAAAGAAAAGAAAGAAAGAAAGAAAGAAAGAAAGAAAGAAAGAAAGAAAGAAAGAAAAGTGTGTGTGTGTGTGTGTGTGTGTGTGTGTGTGTGTGTGTGTAAAGAGAATAAAAAAATCCAGAAGTTTCTGATTTCTATTGAGGTAATTATAATTACAAAATTATCTCTTCTTTGTGATTACATACAACATCCCTTATGATTATGAGTGTAATATTTAGAACTATGAGTCTCTGTAATATTAACAAACATCAGTGGTTCGCATAGGTTCCAAAGGGTACCACCAGAAAAGCCTCTCTGGATTGCCAGAAGGATGGTTTTGGTGGATACAGAACTAGGGACTAATTACCAGACTGGGGACAGTATTAGACAGAAGGATTTAATTTGAATCAGGTACATAGCTTCAATCAAGAGAACTTTTCTTAATCTGTCAATGACATCTCCATTATCTGTACTAATTGTGGGGTTTGTTCGTTTTTTACAAGTAGGCAACTTCTTACTCAGCATGAAAGTGACAGTTTGAGAATGGTCACACTGAATTGCAGATCCAGCTTTATATGATACAACAAGAATGTGTAAAGCAGGAGATATTCTCTTTCTGGATTATTGTGAACTTTCATTTAATTAATTCTTTAAATTCCTAAAATCACTTGGGTAAACCACATTCTGTAATATATGAGCTCATGTTGGGAAGAACAAACAATTCCACCCCTATCCTCCAGCAAATGAAATTGTACTGTCATATCTTAAACTGATGACCATATCCATGAAAATAAGGGTTTTATGCTACCTGAGCACTCATCTTGACATGTTTCATATTTGAGCTAAGAATCTCTGCAAATTAGCATTTCAGTAATTCATTCTTACAAAATATACATTAACATCACTTTTTCTGCCTTTTTTAAAGGCAGTTAAAAGTATGAACTGTCTTTCAAAATTTCAAGAAAAGATTGGACAGTCATTTGTCAAGAATGATATAGGGCAGGGGTGTCAAACTGGTGGCCCGCAGGCCAGATGCGTCACGCACAGGCCACACCCACCCTAGCTCTGCAATAAAACATCACGATACGTCATGTGACAGCAATGTGATGCAGCGAGTTTGACACCCATGGTACAGGGTGTCTGCTCAAATAGGAGATTGGACTAGAAGACCTCCGAGGTCCCTTCCAAACCTGTGATTCTGTGTTCTGTGATGCTATATGTAAAATATGTTTGATTTTGCCTTTTAAACAGTTACGTTTAACAGCAGGTTTAAAGTCAAAATATATCTTGCTTGCTTTTGCTCTCTGTAGCAAAATGTGCACGTTTACTTCTGATGTTGGAGCTGATTTATAGGAAAAATGATTCCTTAGTATAGGAGATTGTTCTTGGAAGCTCTCTTGCTTCTTGAGAAGTTTCCAGATTTATGATTAAAAGAAGTTTAGTATGCCATGTAAAAGCTAAAGTTTCAGGAAAGATTTCAAGTAGTTTTTATTTATATATTGAAACTTGACATTTGGTGAGCTATGCCCATGTCTTGTAAGTTCAGAGGCAGTACAGTTTTTAACTATTAAAAAGCATCATGTAACCACCTTTCCATTCACTTTCCCATGCCCTTTAGCCTCCCATCCTGGTCATAACTTTGACGTCTTATTAATAGGTACCTTTTTGTTTTGTTTTTTGTCTTTTTTTCAAATTCACTCTAGGTATCAAACTGGTTTGGAAATAAACGAATCCGGTACAAGAAGAACATAGGTAAATTTCAAGAGGAAGCCAATATTTATGCTGCCAAAACGGCTGTCACTGCTACAAATGTGTCAGCCCATGGAAGCCAAGCTAACTCACCCTCAACTCCCAATTCAGCTGGTTAGTTTTTTTTTTCTTTTGGGTTGTTATTGTTCTTTTTTTCCAGTGGGGTTTTATTTTCTTTTAGTATAAATGTATGTTTCTTGTTTTTCACTTTGAGTTCCTGTTTGATTAGACAATTTTGTTCCTGTCCGTTTTTTGTTTCTAAAGGCAATATAGTCTCACTACATACTTACAATGCAATGTGTTGAGGATTTTTGCCTAGGTAACATTTTGTCTGAGTTTCTGATGGTGTCAGAAAAAATGTTGGCTGTATGTATTCTATATGTTTCAATAGTGGAGAGACGAGGTAACTCCGAATTTTTAGGGGGGTGGGGCATGAAAAACAGAAGTTTCTTCTGTGGAAGCCACATTAATGAAGAAAACATAATACTAGCATACATACTTTGGTGATGCTATGACTCAGGATGTTTTCAGTCAGTCAATCTAGATGTGTATTGGAATGGGCCTTACCCCTTAAATGTTTTTTGTTGATTTTATTACTTGTGGGTCTCCTCTAAACTTGTCCTAGTTCCACAACCTTTCCAATGTGTAATTTTCATGTTGGTTATTCAAGGAATAAATTAAATTGCATTATCTTAAATAAAGTGACAGAAGGCAGGATAGAAGCATTAGCAATTACCTGATTCCAACTTTGATATGTAAATAGAGGGGAAGTTTATCATTCAGAATTATTTATTTTGTAACACTTTGTTTCCTATCAAATAAGTAATAATCTGCTGGTTCTTGATACTCTTGAGACACTACTTTGCAAAGCCATTGACCTGAGGACTGACCCATACATTTTGGCTTTGTATATTGAAAGATGAAAAACTACAGCATACACGCAATTGGAAAACATAACATAGGATCTGCTGTGAATGATTTAAAATCTGAAGTGAACAAAACTTTTCCTACCAAAAACTTTGTCCATAGTATCATTTGTCCCCAAGACAGTGTGGCTAGACAATAAACCCATACCAAATGAAAATCAGTGACCTGCCATCTTCCTCCTGAATGACGAATCACTAAGTGAGAATTTAGAAATACCACTACAGATTGAGTCCTTGTTCACACTTTATTTTTGATGAGTAGGAGTAGCTTTGGGTTCACCTTCTGAGCATTTAACTATGATTCTCTTTCTCTGGAAAACTGATATCATCTTCTGTGATATGGGAATAAAGTTAGAAATTCTGCTAACATATTTGCATTCTGCAAGTTGGTACTTCACATTTGTTTGATAGTTTTGACTTCGCAGTTGCCTTATGTAAGAAGGGAGTTGTGCCTGGCATAACTGGTGACAACTGACAAATGGTCAGCTACATTGTTTCTGGCACTTACCTGCTGTAATAAGGCAAAAATGGAAAAATCTCAAACTTCATACCAGACAAGTTACTTTAAAAAAACAAATGTGTTTTGCCTTATAAGTGCCTCCTCTAATTTGTGGATTAAGGTCTGTAATTTACTGGTGTTGCATAAGAGATTAATGTTTTTATTAGTTCTGTCTTATGGATAGCATTGTTTTAAAAATGGCTTATCTTTTGCCTTGGCAAAATCATAAAATTTCACAAGATCACATTTCATGACTTGATCCCAAAAAATTCATGTTGAAGAAAGGACAAGATTACCTGCGTGCTGAAGAATGGAAATATTTTTGTCTTTTGCCTAAATTCATAGTTATCTAGAATACAATAAAAATTTGGAGCAGCTTTATCTATTGTATTTCTGTACACAAATAAGATGTTTTACCTGCTCTGAAACATGCAAAGTGTGAATAGAGCAGGTGTCTACAGTGTAGATCCAAAGGTACTTGAGTTTTTTTGCTATGCAGAATGAATGACATTATATGATTTTAAGCAGAAGTTGTATATTACATTTTATCCTGCTTGTAATTATTTATAACTATGCTGACTTAATTGGAAGTTAAGAAGTTCTTTATAAGTTAAGTAAAATGCATTATTAATTCAATCTGTTCTGGACCAACACCACTATTTGTTCATGACTTTTGCTCAAAATAATTTAAACTTTGTTAAACCATGTAGGAAAAAAAGTTTAGCAAGAGAATCGGCAATAAAGTGCTGCCAATGTATGCTTTATGGAGGTGCTCTGAAGTGTTTCACCCTCAGGCTGGAAAGAGAATCCAGGAAAATCAGAGGATTATCAGCAGATGCAGGAGATGAATAAAAAAGGCACAGTCAGAATCTTAAAAACAGTAACAACACAAAAAGGGAGAAGTTAGATTTGGGATCAGTTTTTTAAACAGTATTTTATCAGATAGTTGAGGGTAATCACAGGCAAATTCTGCAGAAAATTAAGCAAAAGGCATGAAGAAAGAAATGTTCTTTAAAGAAACACATTATCTGCATTTTTATTTTTTGATGATATAAAAAAATCCTGGAACACAGATATCCTTAAACAAATGGCATTCAGTGAATTGCTGCTACCAATGGAATCACTGATTTGTCAGTATTAGTCTTATATATTACATAAGGAATGAGTTTCCATTATTATTATGCAGTTATTTTAAGAGCTATGGAGCTATGGCTGAATATAGTTGACTGGATACTGGCTGGATAAATGCATAATATGCATAATATTTAGAGAAGTTATAGCTTATGAAATATGCCTAAAACATAATGTGCACTAATACCTGCAAATATTATATTGGCAAAATAATTACAAAACTTTAACCTTATTAAATTTCTGTGGAGCCTAATGGCTAATTTTACATACATTTCAGAAGTAGTGGACACCATTTATAAATAACTTAAAAATGCATGTGACATATTTTATATGAATTTAAATTTTTAAGGAAGAGTTGTCTTTGTGTGTGTGTCAAGTCTACTTACATCTAACAAGGTTTCTTTTTGACAGTGGGTTTAGCCTCTCAAATTCAGATGGGGTTTTTTGTACAAGTTTTGAGAAAGTCTTCAATTCCTAATAAAATCTCTATTTGAAAGTATTCTTACTGCCAATAAAGGCAAGGACAAATATGGAGAAATGTAAAAGTAATAATTGTCCAAGAAATTAATTACACAGGAGAGTAATTAATTTTGTTCATTTTGTTGTGGTATGTTAGTTAAAAATGCTCCTTATATTTCAGGGATAAGCCTGAGAACCAAGTGATTGATCCATACAATCAACTCTTATAAATACTCATGCCACATAACCCTTAGCTGACCAGGAATTATGTAGAGCTGGGGAAGAGGCAGTTGCTTCATTTCTTGGTTGCTCATTTTGCAAAGCTATTGTTGGTTTTCTTGGAGGTTATGCATCCTAAATTTTCTTTTGACTCATAGCATTTAACAGAACAAACCAGGAATATGATCTTCTTGGCCAACTGTCCATATTCCCCTCTGCTATCCTACTTAGCCAAACTAAAACTGTTCAGCCAGGGTCTTCTCCTTTCTATTGTTTCTTTAACTCCTCTTTTTTTCCTGTTCTTTTGATTGCGCCTGTTCGGTTTCCTCTTTCTCATTTCCATTACAGCTTCCTTTTTTCTCCAGTTTTGAAGAACACCAGCATTGACTCTCTTCTTACTACTGTGGAACTCTACTGTTCTTCTCCTTCCCTCCCACAGTGTAAATCAATCACTCTTTACAAACTGCTTCTTTCACCTAATGTAGGTGGACTTAAAACAGCCTCTTTTTTACTGGCTGAAAAACTAAAAACTGTTAATTTCTTAATCATTTAAATGAGATAGACAAAAACCAGGCCTCCTTATTTAACCTTTTCTGAATTGAACTGGATTTGCCTCCTTAAAATTCGTATCTTTTTTCACCACTCGACATAGTTTTTAATCTCTGTAACTTCTGTTACTTGTACAGAGATTGAGAAAGTCTGGGGGTATAACAAAAGAGAAACAAAGTAAATGCAGTATGGAATTTATTTCAAACTAAATAATAAAGGAAGAGTAACCATCAACACATTTCATGGAATCAAACCTTGGAATGGGCTACTTAAATCCCTGGAATGGGCTATTTAACTTCCTACTCAGTTCAGAATCCCACTGAAGGTATCCCAGGTTAACTAGGCACTGTGTGAATACGTCCAGTGAAGGAGAGTCCACTATCTCTCTGGGTAATTGGTTCCACCATCAAACTGTTCTTAGCGTAAAGAAACTTTTGTAATGTTCTTTTACACTCTGCCTTCCTGTCATTAAACCCTTATTTAAATAAAAGTATGCTATTTATTAATGTATTTTATTGGTTTGCTATTAATGCAATCAGGTTTCTAAAATTTCAAGCAGGTAGAAGAACTGCATGTAATAACCCTATGTTCTATCCAAAGTAATTACAATTGAATTCAAGAGTGTCTTCTTAGGAACAGCCTAAGACATTTTCTCAGTTATCCTAATGATTAAAAAAAAAAAAAAACTATTGAGCCATGTCATTTTCTGAATGTTCTCTTGCCTTCCTGCCAATTTGTGCAACTACTAATTCCTTTTCCCAAAAGAGAGGGGGGAATTTCTGTAGGTTTTAAAACTCACTTATTATAATTTTTTATATTGCTATTTTGCTATGCAAAAGACTGTAGCAAGGCTACAAACACATCCACTACTGGGACCATTTCTAGTTATTATGTCTATCTAAAAATAAAGCATTAAGGCCTGGTTCTTCCCCAGGCACTAGGGACAGTTGAGTGAGAGTCCCTTTTGGTTGTTTTGTTCTGTTTGTATTTTATATTTGTATATTATCAATGTTTAATGTTATATAATTTAAGGGAGGGTCTTTTTGGTTTATTGTTTTTAATGCTACTCAAAGTCACACAATTGACTTGAGTTTTTTAAATCTTATCTCTCTCACACATTTATAAGCTATCCAACTCATAATGACTCTGGGAAGTATGCAAGTTAAAGACAACTTCTAATACAATAAAAATCTAAAGAAAGTAGAAACTGGGGACTAAAACACTAATACATTGATAAAATTCTTCCCGAGGGGACATATTATCTAACCCAGAAATTGAACAGCATAATAAGATTAGATGGAAATTTTGTGTCAAATTCTCAGACATAGTAATGTATGCTGAAAGTCAAACTGATCCACTCAGGAAACAGATTATGATCATGTTACAGGATAGCTTCTATCAATTGTTTATTATTGTGCTACCAATAATAGGAAGAGATTTGGCTTCAAATACTAAAATGTCTTGTGCTGTCTCTGTTGCTTCTCTCCTCCAAGCTCTCAGTATTCTGTTAAAAGTCTGACATGGTGAAAGGAAAGCTAGTGGACAAATTTGATAAAATTTATAATTAGAATGGACAGTGATTTTTTTCAGACAAAATTTGTTAGACTCTGTTCAGCAGAAATATGAGACACATTTGGACTATGGCAAAAAGTGATTTTGGGTAGATGATCAAAACATCTCTGGAAGATTTTTCAGATTGTAATTTTTTATAAAAATGATCATCTTGAGGGATCCTTGGTACTCTCAGAGTTTGGTTGTTTTCTTGCAGAAGTTTCATTGCCCAAACTAGGTCACATCATCAGGACTAATACTGATGCTGTTACCTAGTTTGGGTAATGAAACGTCTGCAAGAAAACAACCAAACTCTGAGAGCAGCAAGGACCCCTGATTTCAACCCTGAGCTATAAATATTCTCCTTTATTGATTGATCATCTTATCTGATAACAACCTATTGCATGATGCTGCTCACAGAATTATTTTGTAGGTTGTAAGATATGCAGCATTAATAAAACAATGGAGTGCCCGGAAACCGTTTTTGTTCACAAACCCAATATTCAATTACATTCTTTCCTTAAATTTTCTTTTCTTTTTTCTTTTTCTTTTTCTTTTTCCTTTTTCAGCAGGAGGAAAGAGTGGTCATGTTTATTTTAATCACTACAATGCATCAACATCTTTTTTTCCTTTGCTGTATAATTATTACTACAGGTAGTCCTCGATTTACAACACTTCATTTTGTGACCATTCAAAGTTAGAATGGCACTGAAAAAAGTGACTTATGACCATTGCAGCATCCCCATGGTCACATGATTTATATTCAAATGCTTGACAACTGACTCACATTTATGACAGTTGCAGTGTTGTGGGATCATGTGATCACCTTGTGACAAGCAAAGTCAATGGGGAATCCAGATTCACTTAACAACCGTGTTACTAATTTAACAACTGCAGTGATTCAGTTAACAAATGGGACAAGAAAAATCATAAAATGGGTCAAAATTCATTTAATAAATTTCTCACATACGGTAGCAACATAAATTTTGGGCTCAATTGTGGTTGTAAGTTGAGGACTACCTGTATACTTGATGTTTCCCCCTTCTATAATTTTATATTACTGTCAAAAATGCTGAGGATGGCACAAAGTGCAATCTCAACAATTACTGCTATACATTAGTACAAAATACATAATAGTCAAGTTTACCTATTCTGTATCTGTGGCAGAAGCAACACAATATATTTTCCAATTAGAGATGTGCATAAATGTTATGAAGAATATTTCATGAAAAACAAAAACATGTTCATGCACAAACACCACAGCAGACAATGCCAGTTATATAAATGTCTTTTTGCAGTTCCTGTTCTTTTGCTCAGAATTTTCACAGAAGAGAAAGAGGGGGGGGGGACAGATTATAAATGGCATGTAATAATACTTTTGTTATTAGAAATGAAAGTTTGTGCCTTATTTTAAAAGACAGACTGAAGAAAGTAGTTATTCTGCTCAAGCAACTTAAATAGATGTTGAAAAATAGGATGGTACATAGAGTTCCTACAAGCTCTTCGTGATGATGCAGCATGACCTTGAAAATCTAGATCAATTATTGAGGCCATCTGTTTGGAGGGGGCGGTGTACTTTTACTCCCAAGACATTCCTGTGACAATTAAGTAATTAAAGTTGGGAAAGCTTCTTTATGCTCAGAAGATAGTGTCACATGACAAGACATTGCTATCATTGCACTCTAAAAAGAATTGCAATGCAGGAATGAGAGATATTGAAAATGACTCAAGGTAATTGCCAGCAGATTTCTTGGATTATCCATTGCAAATCAATTTCTGTTTCCTGAATTATTTTGTAATAGTTTCAGGATCTATTCCAAAACCTGGCAAAGGCAACAGGAGCCTCTTAGACTTGGAAGAACTTTTCACTCTTAGTGACTATTGTATTCTAGAATTTCTCCTCTGAGAGGCAAAGAAGGATTTTGCACAGACTAGCCAGAGCAGAGAAATAATTAGCACACTCTTTCCCAAATGTGTCTTCTCACTTTGCTTTGAGAACTAGAGATTAAGAAAAAGGGCTTTGCAGAGCTAAAGCAGAGTAGATGTTACACAGAGCATCTTGCTATTGAGCAGTTTAGCAAAGAGCCAAGCAACTGTGTATCTTTCAAGGGGAAGCATTGAACCGCTTGGCACTGCAGTAATGTAGTGGAGCTGACCTGGGCCCTGAAGTCTCTCCCTTCAAGCCTAATGTCATGTTTAGCACTAAACCTTGCACGTTAAGCTTTCTCATACTTAACATACTGAGTTGCACGAGAGTTTCAAAAATAAACCCCTCCAGCCTGTCTCATGCACTTCAGTTAGTTTGCCACTTTTAAGGCATATTTGGGAGAGGAGATATGTGGGAAAGTTGAAAATGTTTTGTGCCTAGAATTGCCTTTTCAGACTCAACTGATGATCAAGATAATATCTGCATGTAATTAGTTTCAAGTATGACTTGACATAACTTGGAAAGGGTAAAGAGAGCATGACCAAAGTCTTATGCCCCGTTTTCTCCTCCGCCCAACAAATGACACATGCTCCTCTCTGGATGTAGATGTGTGGGATCTCTGGATAGACACTGCAGAATGCAACTATTTAGTCTGTTTTTCATGCCACATTTCACTACCCTGCCGAGCTGGCCATAACAGCTTCATTATGGGTTGTCACCAGCACCCCTTCTGAAAATGGCAGCGTCTAAGCATGGCATGCTGTACTCATTGGCTATACATTTACATTTATGGCAGTTATTTTAGAATAATAAGATTCTGTCTTCCAGACATCATTGCAGAAAATATCAATGCTTGTTAAGCTATTAGAATGCTATCCATAACAAACTTGTCATTCCCCCCAAACTGGAACTATCCTATACATCAAGATCTGAAAGACTTCTCCTGCTGAAAAGAGAGAAGGGGGGTCTTTTTTAATGTAAAATTTGTAGTTCTTATACCCTCTCTATTTTTTTTAATTTTATGTTTGCTTGCACTTTTCTCCGTGCTACTAACCTGACCGTATTGTTTTCTGTTTGGGGTTGCTTTGCATGCCATTCTTTCTTCTTGGCTGAGAGGCAAGTGGTTGCTTCTCTTCCTTTCTATGATTCAGGTGCCTCGCTCTTTCCTTTCCAGGTTCTTCCAGTTCTTTTAACATGTCAAACTCTGGAGATTTGTTCATGAGCGTGCAGTCACTCAATGGGGATTCTTACCAAGGGGCCCAGGTTGGAGCCAACGTGCAGTCACAGGTAGGGATCCATCGGATGTACTGCCAGTGAATGCATCAGGGTCAGAAGGAAGGGCTTGGATCCTATTGGCTTCCCCCATTACTGTCCTAAGAGAGGCATTAAACTCAACAACCATCAAATCCGTCAAAATGAAACAAAAGAAAAAAACAGCAGGGAAAAATGAGGAATTTGCCTACATTTTGTGAATGCATTTGGCTCTGGCTTCATAGGAGGAAAATCAATATTTTGAATGAAAAGAGTGCCAATTTGCTTAGTGGATTTTCTGGGAGAACAGATCATATATTTATACACTGAGTTTATTATTCAGTCTTCCATATTTTTATCTTCTACTTAGCTTAATAATAAGGAAATGTTGATACATTGCTGAAGGACCTTAGTCCTATTTCAATATCATACCAAATCCTGCCATCCTTTCTTATAAACCAGTTTGATAAGCAAGAGGGTTAAAAAATTTAGTCAGAAACAAATGATTTACTATTGAGGCAGTAGTTAGAACAGAACAGGTATTGCCATTATAGCCTCATGAGTATTCACATTTTTTTCTGGAATCTCATTCTATCTGTGCCTCATCTCATTTGGAATTCCCTATCACATCTCACTGGGGTTCTTAATAATATTGCCAACTATCCAAAAATGTCCATCTTTTGACAGTGCCGTTAAAATCAGTGCAGATTGTACTGTTAGACTGAATGTGCAAAGTGCCTACAGCAATAACAAATAAGAGGAATGGATGAGCCTGAGATGCAGAGGGACTCACATAACATTGAAACTCACATAGGTTCACTTATACCTTCAGTTGCAGGTGGCATTGAGAAATCTTGGGTTATGTGATTGATGAATAAATAATAGATTTAACAGATTAGGAAAAAGTTTCTTCCCTCCACATAATTGGTAAGGCTGCCAAAGAAATTCCAACAACTTCCTGCTCCTTTTGTATATTTTTTTTCTTTATCATTTTAAAATCCAGCATAATAGACTGTGTAGTCTATACACAATAGATGGGGATATGGGTGGAAGGCAGCTTCACTTTTTTCTCTTTAAGAGAACATAGGGAAATCTGTGAACCAATACTCATATTACAATGACCTCCAAAGAAATCTTTCTTCTCTAATATACATGTTCCTAATTCTTTCTTTGTTGTTGGTCTGTTTAGGTGGATACCCTTCGCCATGTTATCAGCCAGACAGGAGGATACAGTGACGGGCTCACAGCAAGTCAGATGTATAGTCCACAGGGCATCAGTGTAAGAAAAATAGGCTTCCTTTTCTCTGTTTCTCCTTCTACTCCTTCTTTTTCTTTTTGTTCTCTTGCTCCCAATTATTTCAAAGCCATAGGGCTCAAAATGCCACTTAGTAGGACTTATCTTAGCTTTACGGTCACCTAGTTTATTGCTTTTGTATCGGTCCTGCCAATGGCAGAATTCTAGCTGCAAAAAAGTGGCAAGTGGGCAGGCCATGTACAGGCAGCTGGCGTCTACAGCTGTCAAACTGAATCAGCATTCACATGGCACCTGCGGCCACTTGTGTTCTGCTGAGAGGGATTGCTAAACAGGTGACACCTAGTACAATGGCAGTAGGGTATATCACCACAAAACAGGACCCAGACGTCTCCAACAAGATGGCTAAAGGCTGAGGCCCAATTCAACTGAACATGCCATCAAAAAATAGGATAGCTCTCTCTCCCACTCCAATCACTGTCAAAGAACAAAACAGATGACTACCCGATTAATAAGCAGGCTGATAATCATAACAATAATTATTGTTATAATGCAAAAACTAAGGAAAGAAAAAGAAAGCTGGAGTGGAATGGAGACATCTTCTACTTGTTCTGAGTTGTGCTGTCTGCTTGTGACTAGCATGAAAATTCATAGCGACAAGCTGTATCTTATGGAGTGAAATTGATCAGACAGTCACAAGGAGAACCGAATGTAGATTTGGGACAGCAATCCAACTTCATTTCTCAGATCAATCATCTACCATCTCTATAGTGATGACAGAAAGCTGGGACAAGAAGGCAGCCTGGAAAAGGAGGCTGCCACACACAATGTTGGGACATCTTTCTACCAATTTTAAAGGTCAAAGTGGGAGCTCTACTCAAGGGGTGACCTGAAACTAGTAGAAGGATAAAATGTGCTTTGTTTCTTTGTTTTCATGCATGCCTTGGTCAATGAAAATGCCAGCTTTGGGGGGAGGCAATAGATTTACAGGTTTCCTAACCATCTTCTCCAGAAAATTCAGGAATTCTGTTGCCTTTAATGCTCAAACCTTTGCTAAGCTAAACAAGTCTTTTGTCAATGGGACTGTACAGCATACCATCACTGAAGGTGGGCATTCTGTATGAGCTTTTATCAATTTCAAACAAAAGCATCAGAGGTAAGATATTATGTGAGGCAATCCATGACAACTGCTTGCCAAGACTACATATCTTTCATTGTGTTCTTCATTTGTTTTCACCTCTACAGAATTGTAAGCAGAAAAATCCAGGTATTTAAATACTCAGGTTTAGAGGTTCACCTGTGCAAGTTTCCAAACAACTGTTCAGTCATGAGAATGTTTGGCTTTGCTTTGGTGGTGGGGTATTGCTGAAGATAGCATTATAACATAGTTGAGTCTACACACTGAAGTTTCATGGGGAAGTTTTACACAAATAGGACAGTCACATAGCCCGCACAGCAGCCTTATTCACATATAAAATGGGAGGAGGGAGATTTAATGAGGCCCCCTTCTCACTTGTTTCTTTGCCAAGCACTTTCATTCCAGATTGGCTTATTTTGGCAGATAATATTAAGCCTGAAGAAGAATACCTAAAGTGAGGAAGATACTCCCTTCAACCAGGGACTTTTATAATGTTAAAATTAGATTTTCCCTCTCACTTTATGTGAGTGAGGCAGACATGTAAACATGCCTGGCATAGCCTTCAATCTGTCAAATCAGCTTATACCTCTGTCCCTGCAGGCACTTTTCTCCTAGCCTTATTCTGATACCAGAAGTTAGATGGATGGAGTAAAAGTACTTCAGGTGGCCTAGTGGGAAGAGGTAAGGTGGGGAAGTAGAGACTTCAATTTCATTAATTAAAAAAATGAGAAGACAGCATGCTGCAGAACAGACAGCCTGCCCTCAGTATTATCTTTATTTTCAGAAATGCTATGGACCCCACATAGGCCCAGTAGGCATTTTTAAAATAGAAAAAGTGATTGCAACCCTATACTTTTAAAAAAAAAAAAATCCCATCTCCCCAGCAAAATACAGACATTGTAAACTGTAATGTATCTTGAGAAAGGCAGGCTAGATGATAACCTTAATGAGCAAGTTAGAGGAGATGATGGGGAGCTCTTACCAATATGTTTTCTGATAAATGATATTTTGGAATTAGTTACGTCTATTATGGCAGCCATTTTATGCTTTGCAAATCTCATGGCAGCCCTTAGAGTATTTTCAAAGTTCTCAGGATTTAAAAAATGCCAAATAGGGGCATCCTTTTGAATCAGACAGAATATGGCTTCATGGGCATCTCACTTTGATCCCTATCACCCCAAAATCCTGTGATGTAGTGAATGTCCTCTAATGGTTATATATTGCAATATTTCATCAATATGGATGGATGGATGGGTGGATGGATGGATGGATGGATGGATGGATGGATGGATGGATGGACTAAAGAATTGGGGAAAATACAGGTTGGTAAAATAGAAGAGCAGAAAGAGCAATCATTCTCAGATTGAACTATTGTGCTATTTGAATTATTTTTCAATACCAAACTGTCTGCATCTGAATTATACAGCACATGTATCCTATGCCTCTCATATTAGCACCATGTCTGATGTCACCAGGCAGAACAGCAAAGTAATCTGAAGCAAATGCAACTGAACATATGCAGACAATTATGTCTGCTTATATAAACCCATTGCGAAAACTAGGCTTGAAAATGCCACATGAAAGAGCCAATCATTCTATATTAACCTCTGTGTTAGTTGAATTCATTTCCATTCCAGCTCTTTAATGCTGAAGAGTAAATGAATCAGTGATGGATCATGATAAAATATGATACTTCTCTACAAATAAATCCTATCCCCCCCAAAAAATTGATCCCCAAGACACAGTGAGTGGATGGGGGGGGGAGAGAGAGAGGGAGGGAGGGAGGGAGAGAGAGAGAGAGAGAGAGAGAGAGAGAGAGAGAGAGAGAGAGAGAGACTAACAGACAGACAGGCAACATGACTTGAAGAAGCAGGGAGTATCAACCACCCACACATTACACAAAGCACTGGGTGTCATGTACACAAGAGAATTACTTGTAAAATAACCAAATATGAAAAGGGAAATGGAATGAAAAGCATAGGTAGATGTATATTGTATTATACATGGTCCTAAACAAGTAGAAAAATAAATTTTTATTTCTATGTACAGTACCAAAAATAGCAAAACTGACTGATGAAACATTTAAAACAGATTTTAAAAAATACTTATACAGGTAAATAATGGAATTTGCTATCAGAATAGCAAATTGAGTCTCTGCCATCAATTTGAATACAGGTAGTCCTCAGATTCAGTGACAGTCAGAAATTATGACAGCGTACCCCATCTTAGAAGAGGCATTATCTTCTATCTGTGAATGAGAAAAGGGGAATGCTCCAGTAGTGGGTTCCACTTATCTTCACTACTGGTTCAAAATTGTGAGCGTGCATGCGCACTCGCTTTGCTCGCTCGTGGCGTTTTTGCGCATGCACAAAACCTGCGCATGCGCAGAGCATCCATGATGACATCCAGGCAGGTGGGCAGAGCCTCCCGCTGCTGCTTCTACCGGTTCACCCAAACTGGGGCTAACCGGTAGAAACCCACCTCTGGAATGCTCCCTTACGAAGCTGATTAATTTAATTTCTATTTTTTTGTAAAGTAAGTACATTGTAATATTTTTACTACTGCCTTATTAATTGGAAACACCATTTCAATAAATTATTTTACTATTCAAGTCAACTATTAGATTTAATGTTGGGAAACTTGTTCCAGTGTCATCTTTGATGAGCAAACCTTTGGGGCAATTCTCACTTCAGTCTACAATGACAGTAAGCCAATGACTGTTGGCTCTTTAAATTCCTTAGTCTCACCTTCAGTTTTGTTGCTGATAGTTTTAGTTTGCTAGTCTCATTTTAGCCACATAATTCAAAGACAGTTTTTCCATTTCATATTTTGCAGCAAATACCTTAATCAGATTCTTTTGCGTCCCCAGAACTGGATCTGGAATTAGGATCAAACTAAACATTACTTGGAAAAAAATGTATTTGCTTTATGCAAACGGAAGGTCAGGAATCTGCAGGCATTAATGGCTACTTATCTAAATTGGACTTTGCAAGATACAAAGACTTGGTGTTCTACTTTTGCCTAATATACTAGACTGGCTTACATTAACAGAAAAGATCTTCTTGTTTCCTAATAAGTTGCACAAATGCAGCAGGCAGGTGTAGATTTGGAACATATTCTTTATGCAAATTGGGCAGATAGATTGCCCGATCTGATTAAGAAATCCTATATAAGTTATTAGAATTGGACTTTTTGTGCATAAACGATCCAATGATGGAAGAGATTTAATGCCTGGCTTCACAAAAAATAATTAACAGAAATTTAGAGCATTTTATTATTTTTTAACTTTCATCCAACTGCTTTTTTTTATTATTCTACTAGACAATAGATATGTACAAGCTAGAATCAGAGATTGAGGACTAGGATTTATATTGTTTATATATAGTAATTTGTGTGCTTGCAGAGTGTCACATGCTGGGATCACTAATCAGTAAATAGGTGTTCACAGGAACATGCCTATATATTTCTAAGGGGAAAGGGTGGTTCTGGTTTTTCTCTGATGACGCAAAATAAGTCTTGGTCATTACAGTTTTAATAAGTAGTACATTTTCTAATATACTGTTCAGACCTAAGAAATATTAGGATATTCAACTTACGACATGGAGTAGCATTTATGAAAATGGGGCTTTATTTGTTCCATAATCTACCCTGAGAAAAGATGAATTACTTTAAGGATTTTCTGTTTGCTTTTCTTTTTTTTTTCCTTTTTTTAGTAGAACTGGATAAAATTTGAAGATGAGCTAGAACTAGGATTGATGGGTTCAGGTCTTCTAACTGTGACTGAAATTGGTGCAGAGGGCTTGAGCACATTCTTTTAAAAATGGCTCTTGGTGTGTGTGCTCTCTTTCTCTCTCTCTCCCCTATGTGTAATTTGATGATAGGAATTGAT